GTTCTGATGATTCCAAGCCAAGTGAAGTAGTAAAGTGCTGGTAATTTTTTAAGTTACAGTTATGCAGAGCTATGGCCTTCTACGACCTGTGTTGGGGGGTTCAGTTTCCAATCAGTTGAAGCGCACGGCGTTGGTTTCGACGTGCTAGAAATATAGAAATTAAATCCTTCAGTAGATGGACTCTGGTGATGGGAATAGGAAGAGCACGCAGATACAGGATGCGCGCTTTTATCAATTGCTCATGTTTTTATCAAAAGTTTTTGGAGAGTTGTATGAAAGGGTCGAGTTATCATCTCACTTTTGTGAAATGTTAATTTCATACGTATGGCAAAATGGTTAACAGGTATAAAAGGATAAGGCTGCTTTTTTCAGTAAACCCCCTCATTCCGAAGATGGGTATTCCATTAGGTGCTTTCTGTATACGGAGCAATAAGTTTTTGGTAGGAGCTCCAGATGTGTAACGAAATCATAGCAAACTGATTGTGCAATACAGATTGAACCATAATGCCACCGTATTGATTAAAGTCGAGCCCCAGTCTGCATTTTTTAAAGGGGAGCGAATATTCTACGATGGAGTACTTGGTTGCTAATGAGTTGTAGAGTGGTTGGAAGTAGGTCCAATAATCCCAAATTTAGTTGTAATGTTTTGTTGTTTTACTGTGAACATTCACAATTTATATTTTGATTTTTGTATTTAGATTTTTGTTGGGTCTCCATTTTTAAATTTCAAAAAATTAATAAAAAGGTTCCAAATTCATAATTTGATATTTTTTTCCATTGAATAAAAGAAGATTTTCCTCTTATGAAAATGAATGGAGAGAATTTTCTCCATAAAATGTAGAGACTATTGTTATGTATTAGTTCTCAAAAATACGAAACATTGTGCAAAAACTTAGAAGGAACACTCTCTCGGTCATATTACATTAAACAACTAATTTATGGAACTAAAAAAAGAATATGAGTTAGATTGGAATAAAACATTTAAAAAAGAGAATTTATAAAAATTACCCCATAAAAACTACTATCATCTTAAAAAGATACAATGAACTAAATATATATATTGCAACTTAATTATACAGGCACAATTGCTCCTCATAATTAATAATTAAAATGACGGCAATAATGAGATTAGTGAAATATAAGGGTATAAAGTGTATTTAATCTCAAATAAAAAATTTTATTTACAGAAATTTTTAAAATGTTTTTATGGGTTAATTACATTTAGCACTGCATACATTTTATCCAAAATCACACATTGCCTTTACTTTCGGTGTGAGCAATCAATCTTTTATATTTTGACAGTCAATTGTGCAAGTTTTGCCCATCTTTTTTTTTTTTTTGATTTAGCAAAGAAGAAAATTTTATTGATGATATAAAAGCGAGTACATCAATAAATGAGGAGCTCGGAGCTGCACTAAAGCTCGGAGTTCCAGTTTGGAGAGATCCAATCACAGTGGAAAACCATAAGAAAACAGAAACAAGATATCATAGCATGAACGAGCAATCTAGTAGCATTACACCAAAAAGGCTATCAGTTCGGAAAATATATAATTTATTATATATTATTATGCGTAATTTTGTAAATAATATAATTATTAAAAGTTTAGGGGTCAAAATATAAATAATAATAATATAGATAATATAAATAATAATAATAATATGTGTGGTATTAAAATAAATAATTAATTTCTGTTAATATAAGATAAAGTGTAATTTAATTAGAAATTAAATTATTTATATAATTATATTAAAATATTAGGTCAAAAGATAATTAACTTAAATATCTATTAAGGATAAAAATGAATCTTTGTAATTATTATCGAAATCTGCCACGTATTGCTCTCTCCCCCTATAAAAGGCGGAGGCGTCCGCAGAAAGAAAGAAAAGAAAAGAAAGAAGAAAGAAAGAAAAGAAAAGAAAAGAAAAGAGAAAGAAAGAAAAGAAAGAGAGGAAAAGAAAGAAGAAATAATGGAAGCTAAAAAGGTTTTTGATAGTGGGAAGAAAGAGTAAGGTATTAAAGTTAAGGTGAGTTATATTATACCTTGAGTCACCAAAATTTATTTTACTTATGTTTTGACTTACCAAAATCTATTTTATAAAAGTTATATTTTATTGGTATATTAATAAAAGTTATGTTTTATAAAGGTTTCAGTTACATGGTTTTATTTCTGAACCCTATTTGCTTAAAAGGAAACCCATGGATTTGTCTGTTTTGCTTTTAAAGAATATTTGGCTATGACCTTATATGAAAATATGTTTTGTAAGTACCACCACGGGAGTCCCATGCCTTGGGGGACTTAAATAACCATTGGCTTAGTGAGTCACATGCCTTGGGGGACTTAAATAACCATGGGCTTAGTGATTGACCACTTTGTGGTCTAGTGTTTGTCGTGGATCTGTTGACCAGTGTAGTGCTTGGCACTTAGTGATGTACCGTGGTTATGGTTGTATAGTGATTTTCGTATTACATGTATATGTCAAATGATTTCCATATTATGTATGCTATGTATCAAGCTCTTTTTGGCCTAACTAGTTATTCATGGTGAATTTTATGCCTTATACTCTTAGTATAATATTTCTCACTCTGCCATGAGCTTATAGTTTTTTACCACTTTCAGGTGACATGTCGGGACCAGCGTGTGGAGTAGACACAAAGCACTTTTATTGATGTATTTTTTTATGTAAAAATCGGCCTTTTTGGTCAATACCTTTTGTAATAAAAATAGAAGCTCCAATGTTATTTTAGTACCCTTATTTAAATATTTCTTCCGCTTGCGTTTATTAATTTGTTTAAAGATTTGGCCGGAGGTAACCTCGGTTACTGGCCATCACGATGCCTAACCCTTGGGTACGGGGAGCGGGTTGTGACAAATTCTAAGAGCAATAGTTGCCGACAACGGAACACAGTTTGACAGCAAACTCATCAAGAACTTTTGTGCGAAATTCAAGATCAAGAATTACTTTTCAACACCAAATTTTCCCCAAAGTAATGAGCAAGCAAAAGCATCCAACAAAGTAATTTTGGATGGAATAAAGAAGAGACTGCAGGCAGCAAAAGGAAAGTGGGTAGACGAGTTGCCCAACGTACTTTGGGCATATCGGACTATGCCGAGAAGATCAACAGGGGAATCCCCCTTTGCCATGGCTAATGGCACAGAAGCAGTTATCCCATTGGAGATCGGCATCCCAGGGATCAGAACCCAGGGAGTAGAGAATGGCACCAATGACATACTCTTAGCCCGAGATCTGGATCTTTTAGAAGAACGAAGAGAGACAGCTGCAATTCAGCTCGCAGTATACCAGCAACAGCTTGCTAGAGCTTACAACAAGAAGGTCAATCCGAGAGATTTTCAAATCGGCGACCTAGTCCTGAGAAAAGTCGTCGGCAACAAGAAAGATCCCAGAGAGGGCAAGCTTGGCCCAAACTGGGAAGGACCCTACAGAATTACTTCGATATTAGGCAATGGAGCTTATCGGCTTGAAGATAATGAAGGAAAACCACTGCCAAGACCTTGGAACACTTGTAATTTGAAATTCTTTTATCATTAGATATGCAGTATTTTTGGCCGATGTCATCAATAAAATCTTTTCCCTTTTCTTTAAAACACATATGATTGATAAAGTTACATAATGGTGTTTTTGGAGACATAAATAATGAGAACCCAAGTAGAACTCAGGTTCACATTGGGGGCAGAAAGAAGATTGAGACACTTAATTCACTTGTTGAAAATTGTAGCAATTTACAAGTTGGAGTTAAGCTGATTCTTTATCTTCACTTGTTGAAATTTGTAGCAATTTACAAGTAGATCATTGCTTAAACACTTGTTATAACTTGAGAAAAGTTTACAGTATATGATAACACTTGTTGAAATTGGTAGCAATTTACAAGTAGGTTAGACTAAGATCACTGTCTAAACACTTGATTGAAACATTGAGAAACATTCGCAAAGTTGACATTGAAGAATATATGTCTTACACTTATTGAAATTTATAAAAAGTTTGCAGGTCAGTATCTCGCCGAAGTAAAGCTTATAGTTATTATACCCGAGATATGTAACCTCGAGAAGATTGTACAAAGGTGGCAAAATATGAAAGGCATACAAAATATTCTTAGCATAGAACCATGTAGAAGCAAATCAAGAGAAATTAAAAGATTAAAGCATCCATAGAAAAATAGTTGCAGTTGTGTACAAAAGAAGGCACTACGGCCTACCAGAAGTAAATTGTTTCGAAGTAACAAAGAAAGGCACATTGGCCATGAAAGGAAGCTTACATTGTCCAGAAAACAAAACAAAGTACAAGGGTGTAAAAGAAAAGATATGAAAGTTAAGACTTTTCAGCATCAGCAACTGGCTGGATCTGAACCTCAGAAGTCTCCTGAAGAGATACCTCGGCTTCCTTATCTGCAGCAATCTCGGCGTCGATCTCGGCAAGGGTTTCATCAATGCTCTTGCCGATTTGAGGAATGTCGGATAAACCCTGCTCCGGGGTAACCTCCTTGGTAACTTCATCGCCATCATTATCTTGAGTCAGGTCCAGGACCTGCTCATTCAGAGAAGGAGACTTAGCCCCTACAGCCTCCTTGGATTTTCTTATTAAACCCTCATCCTCACCCCCCTCCACATCTTCAGACTTAAAATCGGATTCTTCTTCAGGATGACTTGGAGGAGGAGGGGGAGGGAATGATAGAGGGATATCATTAGCCTTGCACAATGGCGAGTCATCCGGGATGTTGAGTTTTTTGGCAAGGGCCATCCAACCAAGGGAGAAGCCCCTGTTGCATGCCTGCCTAACTTGCAGTTTGTACTCCTTAGTGACGTCGGCCATTCCTTGAGCATAAGCCTTCTCGTCAGCCTCCTTAATCTCAGCATCTTTGGTAACTAAGGCCTCCCGAAGCTCTTTTTCGGCTTGGGCCTTTTTGACCTCGGCCTCTCTCTTCTCGGCCTCAGCAACCTTCTTAATGGCCTCAGCAGATTCGGCTTTTTCCTCAGATAGACTTTGGGCTTTGGCGACGGCCTCAGCTTGGTCCTCCAGTTTTTTCATCTTTGATTCAAGAGTTTTGTTCTCCTTTTTCAGGACAGAAACCTCCCTCTTCATGTCGGCCAATCTTTGCCGATTTTCAAAAGCTTGCATGGAGAGAGAGTGGGCATGTTGGATGGCCTGAAAGAACACAAGGCACAAATTGTTACAAAATTTTACAAAGTAAGAGAGAAAACAAATTTCAGCATAAAGGCATTTACTTGGACAGAGCGTTGCAGCATAAAGGCGTAGTTCTCATACTCACTCATCTTGGCATTCCGCTAAAGATTGCCTGGAAGGAGTAGAGCAGTACTGAGTGCCACGCCGACATTTATATCATCGGCGCTGTCGCTGGCAAGGACAGGCTTATCCTCTAGAGTGATCTCAGGTGTCCAAGGGACTTTTGGTATTCTGGAACCCGAGGTCGTCGCAGACGATGACCTCGGCTTCTTTGATTGGGTGAACTCTGATGGCTGGGCCTCAGCAGACCTTTTTGCAGAAGTAGAAACAGTTTTTTTACTTTCAGCCAATTGTGAGATGGGCAGAGCATCCTCAGCCTCAACCTCAGTAGCTTTGGCCTTGAGCTGGGCCTTTTTGATTCTTTTTGGCTTTGGTGGGGGCATGGATTGAGTCGGAACAGCATCAACGTCGGCAGGTAGGTTGGCTAAGAGATCTACAGCAACAGGCTTCGTGCGACCCATCTCAGTAGTTTTGACAAGTCGTCGCCGACGTTTTCTTTCTGGTATTGGGATCAAGTATGGGGTTGAAGTCGATGGTTGATTGGTTAGGTCAGATGTTGACTCTTGATCTGTTTGTGATATAGAAGCGGTTTGAGTTGTGGCAGTAGGAGGAGAAAGGCTTTTCTTTTTTTTTTTGTGGACGTCGGGCAAAGTCGATTTGTATGTAGGAATAAAGTTGAGAAGAAGAGGTGCTTTTCTTTTGTGAACTGGCAAGTCCAGGAGTTTTTTCAGGTCCTTACTGGGAACGTAAGATTGGCGAAAGTCTTTCGCTGGCTTGCGAACATCTGCAAGAAGAAATAAACATTAGAAACAGATAAAATATTGAAGACTTGAACAGAAACAACTAAGTATTGACACTGGGCTCTTACCCTTACCCTCTTTAACTGATCAGGGAAGAGGGTAGAGATGGGCGTCCTCGTCTGCGCCAAACTCCCAATTTCCCGAAGCAATAACATAATCATCTCCAGCCCCCTTGTTGGAGTCTGGAAGATCGGCTACGATTTTGAATTCAGTGGACCTCGGCTTGAGGTAATAGACGAAGCCTTTTTCCTTCAGGTTAAGGGGGCACATGGTATAACAGTACTGGATGTCGGCAAGGGTGATCCTAGCGTTCTCCTGCCTAGCTAAAACTATGATGCCATTGATCACTCGATAAGAGTTTATGGCAAGTTGCATAGGGTTCAACTTGTAAAAGTGAAGAATTTCGCGAAAGAGAATGTTAAGTGGGATCCGGAGTCCGCACTCAGTAAAAGCTACTATGGGAAAGGGCATTGAATCATCTGTGGACATGATGGAGTCGTTATCTTCAGCCAGCCTCAGATGGACATCGGCAGGAATAAAGAATTCTTGCCTAAAGTACTCAAGTTTGGTCGGGGTATCTACCTTATGTCTCCACATACCCATAACGTCGGCCTAAAGTCAGAGGGCTAGGTTTCAGAAAGAATGTGCTCTTAAGGAGTTATCGGGACCTCGGCGAAACCCTAGGTATATGCTGGTAAGGATTGTTTCAATTTTTTCCTAAGAATTGATAGGTTCTATAGACAAATCCCAAACCTAAATCTATGAAGGCAAAGATTGAAAGCAAAAATTCAAGGCAGAGATCTGGAAAAAAACATAGGAAACAAGAAACCAGAACGCAGTTTCAGAACGAAGAATAGAAGTGGGTTCTCAAAAGCATAAAGAAAACAAGAACTACAGAGCCAAGAATAGTGGCAAAAATGCAGTAAAGTGGTGCAACGATGCGTGTGTTCAAAGATATGGGCAAGGGCCAAATCAAAGAATAAACATATTCAGATGAATGATTCACAAGATAGATATTTGAGCAAAGCAGTAATAACAGGAGATTCCAGAAGTGGTCAAGAATTGAAATCAGAAGGAAAAATTGCTTACCAGAGAAAATGAAGCCGATGTGAGGACTGCCGAAATCAGTTGGTAGTTACAGATGTGGCAAAACAACGAAAGCTCCACCAGGAAGACAAATACAGAGCTTGGAGCCTCAGTAATGGCGGATTCGAAAGAACGAGTTTAGAGAGAGAAAAAGCAAATGCAATAGCGAAGAAAGGAAAGAAGAAGGAAGAGTTTTTGTCAAAAACCAAAAACGGCGGCAAAAGGTAATCAATGCGCCTGGAGCAGCGCATACGTCAGGCGGCGTGCGCAGAAAAAACGTGGTTTATAAGCGCGTCACAAACACGGACCAATAAGGAAAAGACGCGTAAGAGAAACGATTGAGTAAATGATGCGTGACAGCTCACACATATGAAAAAGATCACTGGAATTCTTGTTCTCCGAATAGAACTTGTCGGCTTGAAATAAATGATCTCGGTTGAAGAGTTTGTAAGCCAGTGTGAAGAAAGAGATATCGATATAGGTTCCATCACCTCAGAATGCCGAAGCCGAGGTAATAGAACCTAGGGGGCAGTTGTGGAGATGTATTTTCTGAATACCAACACGTGGCAAGTTGACGCTAACGTGTCAGCCGAGGTGCCACGTGTCCAGGTCATAAT